CTGTAATTCAGATTTCTGCATTGGATTAGAGTGTACTTAACCCTATTGCATGGGCCCAAGCTAAGCCAAGCTGAGCTTTCAGCCTAATAAATATTGCATGGGCTGATAGAATTAATTCATTTGTATGTGAATTAACTCGTAAATCTTTATCAAACATTACTTAGTGCCCATGCAACACTTATTTGTAAATAAATTCATGTTTTATTTTATAAAAGAAATATGATATATTGTTTATAATATATGTTTTATGAGCTATATAATAATATTTATATAAAAATAGAAGATAAAACAAAATAAAACATACATATATAATATGTGTATATAATATATAAAATATATAATGTGGGTCCAACCCTAAGGCTATGTTTGGTTTAAAGGAAAGGGTAGGAAACAAAGACAAGGTTTATAAAGATTTTCCTACCTTTTCTTTCATTTTCTTACATTTTCCTTCAAACCAAACATAACCTAAAAGTCTCAAACTTGAAGTATTTTAGTTGAATCAAGCTAAGACATGCTGAAGTTTAACTTGGCAGAGTTCGATTGCACACTTACATAGGACAGGTGACATTGATAATTTTTTTGGGCGACATTCATAGTTTGAAACTAGAGTGTTAGTATAGGACCTTGGAACAACAATGGTGGTATGGTATATGCTTCTTTCTTGCATCGGATGTTTGTGCACTACATGCGTAGTAGTATATGACAATGGATACAGGGGCGGAGCCAGGGGGGACCCAGGGGAGCCATGGCCCCCCTATGGTTTAGAAAATCTCCATTGTATTACAGCTTTTTATGTAAATTTTCCCCTCCCTCACTCTCCACCTCAATGGCTGGCCCCCTAAGGATCCATCCATACTTCATTTAGGTTTTAACTGATAGTTACATTTTTTTTTTGAAGAATTGTTTATTCTATGATGATTATGATACATACATCTGGTGCCCAATTTGGCCTAGTAAAGATCTGTGACAATCTGGATAGGCTTGGCATGTCTATATTTGTTTGCCATGTTAAGTGGCATTTTCATAAATACTATCGATATGAATTTTCTATGTTAATATATTCTTAAGGTGGATTCTTGAAAAATTAATATCTTACAGGGATGATCGACCTTCTTGAGTGCCTATTCTTTGCATTTTCAAGACAAACATTCCGTTGTAGGGCGTGACTTTTGTTAATGGCTACCAAGAACTTAGGGCTATAAGCAGCCTGAACCTACTCATGACGTACTCGAATTAGGCATGCTAAATACAAGAACTATACTTGCAAATAATGGAGTTTGAGTTGAGTTCAAGAAAAATATTAAATTTTTTATACTTTTTTATTTATAATATTTCCTAATATACTTTTATGTATAATATTTTTAATGTTAATCTATTTATAATAGACTCAAATTCAATTAAGAAACTTGAAACTCGATTGAGCTCGAATCAAGTTTTTAGCTCTAAACTTTTGAGTCAAGTCAACCTCAAGAAGCTCAATAATTGACCCGACTTGACTTGATTACACCTTAGACACACATCCAAGGATTAAAGTATCGGTATCAGGTATCATATCAGAGGATTCATATATGGATACGGACACACTTTGGAAACGCATGGATATGGACCAAAAATATGAAAACAGATGGATATATTGGGAAAATACATACAAATTCCATAAATATATTAATAACACTAAATTTAAGACCAAAATGATCAAAAATAATATATAAATACGTAGAAAATGTATATTTTAATGGTGTATATTAAAAAATATATTACAATTAATATATCAGGATGCCTAGATATCATATAATTTTATTTATAATGCATCAATCAAGAGTCCAAGACACGAAACACATGTGCATATTATATTTTAATTATTATATCAGTTATTTTTTATTTTACTATTTTAATTTTTTAACTTTAACAAAAAATCAACTAAATATTAAATTCTCAAATGCAAATTAAAATACCAATTAATAATTCACAAAAATATAATATTAACTTAAAGTATATCAAATTTCTTAAAATTTCTATGATACATATTCTATACAAATTCATAAATTTTAATTATTAAAATAATTATTCCATTGTTAATATTTTTATTTCTATAAATAATTCGAAATAAAAAATCACTTTTTGAAATAAATGTAGATTAGTGGGTTTGATAAATTCAATTTAATATTATATTCTTCAACATTTTGTAAACAATATTTTTAATTTTTATAAATAATAAATATATTGTTATTACTTATTAATGTAAATTAAAATATTAATTAATAATTTGTAAAAATATATAAAAAATTTAAGATGCATATCATGTGCAATTTAAATATTAAAATAATTATTTTACTACTAATATTTTATTTATATAATTTTATTGATATTAAGAATCATCTTTTTATATAAATATGGATGTGATAGATTATTTGTTCTATTAACTTATAAAATATGACTATTTTGAACATTATTATTTGGAATATTTAGAATTGTTAAATATGAACACATGTTTTTTGTTTGAATTGTATGCCGACACAAAAAAGTTAATGAAATTTATTTTATTTTGTTTAATATCGCAAGATTAAACCTGGCTTGATGGTTTAGAGTGTGGCGAAATATACGCATGTCTGAATGACCTGTGTTTGAATTGTCATAGGTGCATTTTTTATGAAGTATAGAGAGAGCGTTTCACGCATATCAGCCTATATCATAGCATATCCTGTACCACTGTCAACCGATACCAATAGCCCGATAGCCTCGTATTGCGTGTATCTTGTTGATATTAAAATCCTTGCACACATCAATCTCATGGATAGAATGCATGTATCAGCATTGTGCTTAGTATATGAAGGAGAGCCTTGGGGTGGCCATGTTTGTCCCATATCCTCACCATCCCCATATCTAAGCATATTGGGCTATCCCTTGCCCAGTAATTTGGGCATGTCATCTATAGGTATAAGGGTATCATCCTTACATGGACAATAAGGTCATGATCCAATGCCACTGATCATTGGGATTACTATCATCCAACCTAAATTTTTAATTCCTTATCATCATAAAACTTGTCTTGGCCACTTGGGCTTGGACATCGTGTCATCTTGTGCTGCCAAAACCTACAACCATTACTAATAATATCAGAGCTTTCGAGAGAGTGCAAAATACAACCGTCTACCACTTTGTGACAAATGATATCAATGCCAACATGGTGCTCATCTGAAACGGCATTTTCATCAGCAGCAATAATCGTGGATAGCGGGGTTTATTATGCTCCTATTCAACAGGATTTAAGAAAACTTGCGAACAATGATTCTACGGTTAATACTACATAGTGTATGGTGCATGCAACCTCTCACAGATAATAAAAAAAAAAAAAAAAAACAGCATATATTCATTTCTGTGAGGCGTGAATGGTGATTTTACATCTTAGCCCGACAAAGGATGGATCTTTGTTCCGAAGCCTTACAAGTGAGGCGGGGACAATAATTCAAAATAATTGGTTTATATTGATGGTTGACCCAAGAATATTTCTTAATGGCATTATTAACTTCGAAAGGGAACCTACAAATTTCAGCAATTGGGGCATGATGGTAATAGAGTCGAATTAAGTGGATTGATGGACATGCTCAATATACATGAACCGTTTGCATGCAAAGACATTTTCATTATTTTTTTTAATGGGTGCATGTTTGGTAGCATCATTGGTAAAACTGCTAGGTGCAACAAATATTGTATAGTGAAGACCTTAAGGTAGAAGAAGGGTGGACCTCCTTGAAGCAATTTAAGTAACCCAATCTAGAGATAAATGTAGTTCCTAACTTCCTATGGCCAACATAAAACATAGCCATGGCATGGTATGAATAACGCTAACACGACATGTGAAATTTGATAGGCCAGCATTGTAAAATGATTTCTCTCAAGCATAGATGCCAACATAGGTGAAAAGCAATAAGTGCATATTTGCTCATACCAATAAAAGCTACCATCATTGGGTTAAACTTCAAGGCAAATGTGTTCAGGTAGACATCTCTGGAGAGTCAGTGGATGCCACTAACAAGTTAGACCCATGTTTACCAAATGACATTGACTCCAACAGTAGGCTAAACTAATTCACCATGCGGCAACACTCGATTCGATGGTAGCAGTGTGATTCTTCGACCATAATGTATTTTTCAAACTCTTTGAATGCCTTCAAACTTCATTATCAGAGGGAGAGGTTTACTGTAGTGTAGTTATGTCTGTATCATATCCTCACCAAGGTTCAAAATATAAATACGCCTCTATGGATCAAAAGAACGCGTATTGGTACTAAAACCTGTGTGAACTATTATTTTTAGTTTTTTTTTTTTTCAGAACCTGATTTTTGGGCATGCTTTTTATTAAAATAAAGGTTCCTGAAACACCTGTTTACAGACATTTGGGACCCCAAAAGATACGATACAATGATACGCCCGATATAGAGCATATCATATCAAAATTTTGAACCTCACCATTCCCACATTTAAGCGCATTGAACTATCCTTGGCAAAGTGTCCTTGGCTGTAATTGACTTGCCGTCTCCCATTGGCCTGTAAGAGGCACCTCCCTTGGCCGCTAATCATCATAACAAAGCTTGCCCTAGCTGCTTGTACTGAGACGTTGCATGGTCATCTACTGCCAAAATCAACGACCATTATAGATTTATAGATAATAGAAGCAAGCTCAAGCCCACGCAACTACAACTAGTGGGATTAGAATTGATCACCATATCTACCTATCAGCATATGCCCCTTTACTACTGTTTTTGCTTTTTAAGTTGCTTGTAGACTTTACACTGTGGGGTGACACAGTTATTCCAGTATTTCTTCCGCCCCAATCCCAGCACAATTTATTACGTTGCATAGCTATAAATGCATAGCAAGGAATTAAGCGGAGTCTCGAACAAAGCCCCCCAAGTCCCCAGCAGCTTGCTCAGGCAGAGTCTCGAACAAATAATTGCCACTGTCAACATGCAACACAAATGAAGGCTCGGGAACAACCAATATTCTTAAAATGGATAGTTTTTATAGATTCTTCCACCTCACAAATTTTTATAGGTTTGTACAGCTAAGACGGTGACAGATGGGTGAATCTATCACAATTCGAGTAATGTAGATTCTCCCGATGATGACATCATCAGTTCTGGTACTATCGTGAGATGTTCCCAATACACAGTGGGGATGTGCTGTGGGACATTGTGGGCTATCAGAAAAGGGCCATCAGAGTATCAGATAAGTTGACATTGACCCTCGCCATCCGGGGTGCTGGATACAAAAGGGGGGAGAGAAGGGCTCGGAACAAGCAGAGACTCAAGACCCATAAAGCAAAGGAACAACCTGAAAAAAGTGGGTTAACAAAAACAGGGCCTAGATTCAACTGAAGCTCACATTAGAAACTCAATAATGAGGTTATTCTAGGATCTCCATAAATAAAGATCAAGAGGTAAACAAAATGGAAAAAGAAATAATAAGGTTCGGGTTCTTTCACTCTTCGTTCTTACTGTTGATCTGCTTGGTCGGAACATTGAATCAGAGTCATCAGATAAAAGACCAGTTGACGAACAAAAAGCAAATGCAGTGAGAATTTTCTTCTTCGTTCAGCACTTTCCAAGCAATTCCTCTCTCATAGGAGACTGGCCTGCCCATGCTTGAGAGACAAATACCACCCTGGAGGCAAGCAAACCCCTGCAGAGTGTAGAAAGAGAAAGGCAAATAGTAAACAATCTATAAACTTGTCCCCAAAAAGCAGATTTTTTTTCTGTGTAAAAGATCCCAAATATTCAATGTCAAAGTCAACCATACATTGTTTAATACAGTAAATGCCATATGATCATTGACCAAGGCCATCTGGGTGCGACATCTCCGTGATAGGCTACTCAAGACTAAGAATCTATTTCAATCCAAACACGTGACAGCTTCTCTAGCTACCTAATTACTTTTAACATTCCAGTTTCCACTAGTATTACTCTGGTTAAGCTTTGAGACAACTGACAAAATGACTTCGGGGGCAATGATAATCAAAAGAAGTTACCCTACCAGGCTCTTCTTAAAATGATAACCACCTATCATGATGTCTAAAATGATAACAGAGATGGAATTAAAGCTAATATTGTATCGCAGAACAGCTGCAGGAATTAAGAATTTTCAGATAGATGACTGATTAAGGATTAAGGTGGGACAAGACTATTGATGATCCCCCCCCCTCATGGCCAGAAACAGAGTTGCATTTGACAATGTGTAACATGGGATCACATAGAGTATGAAGTTAATAACATTTTATTTTCAATGACATTTTAATGGATAAATTCTCTAGAAAGGTGTCCTCAAGGACTGTTGAAAGAAACAATGACATTTCAGAGTTTCCATTAATAACAAAATTCCACTGATGACTATGCATGATGAATTTGTACTTTCAAATGCTATGAAAGCCAAACATATCTTTTAATTTAGATTCAACTGAAAATAACTCATTAAGAGTTTATCTTTTCTCATAAAGATTATAAAGAAATATTAAGTGTTAACAAAATTCCACCAATGACTATGCATGATGAATTTGTACTTTCAAATGCTATGAAAGCCAGACATATCATTTAACTTAGCTTCAACTGAAAATAAATCATTAAGAGTTTATCTTTTTCTCATAAAGATTATAAAGAAATATTACAAAAAAAGTGTTTGAAGGGCAGTGCAAAACCTGCTGCATTATCTGTGGGAACTCTAAGCTGAGAGTCTTTCGTCCATGGTCATCAAATATCTTCTCCAGAGTTATGTCTTGTAGTGCAACTAAAGTTGTCTCAAGCATGTCCAAACCTGCCTGATTTGCAAAGGTGAAAACTGGTAATGCCTGCATCAACCACTGAATTCAGATTATACTTGCTCAGATGCCAAATATAAGAAAGAAAATATAAGGGAAATTACCAAAAAGTATCATTTCATTTTCCTATACCGAGATGAAAAATGGCATTCATTGTGTATTTTGATTCTTCATTTAGGTCAAATAAGTAGAAAAAGAAAAAAAGTTACATACCATGATGTATGCAAATAGATAAACTGGGTACTCAAGGTAAGCCCAACATAAAGGGGTTAAGCATAATGTTTTGCATACTATTATTTTACTCTCATCTATAAAGTTATCTAGAAATGGTCCTCTAGAATTTACAGAAATTTGCATTCTAACATGTATTCAGCACAAATACTTCATCCATTTAATAGAATCCACAGGATACTGGTTAGGCGTTATCCTTCTGACCTCTCTAAAGATATAAAAGGCATCATAAAGACAGATGTTGAGGAAACAGTGAACACACTGTCATTTTTCAGAAATTGGTTATATTTTTTGTCCAATTCTAGCCCAGATGTTGGACCACTTGGTGATTAGGATTTCAAAAGCCATCTCTTATGGTTTCCCATTTAGACTGCACAACCAATGTTGGTCTTTCCTTGGACTGAAACCTGTTTTCCAAATTAATTTAGGACTGCAACCTGGAATTTTAAGTGAAAAACCATTACCCACTGTTAGTCCCAGCTATCTGGGTCTTTGGGAGGGGTAGATTGGATACGATCCTAACCTTTGACATTTTTTTGCGCAAAGTGGATGCTCACAGACTTTAACCTACATTCACATGTTTGCAAGCACAAGATTTGACCATTACACCAAGCAGTGGCCCCTAGGTCTGCTAGAATTTTAAGTGAAAAGCATAATTCAAGTGGAGATCAAAAATCAAAAGATTCAGGTTTTTCTAAAACAGAGTTACTGCAAGCAGTGTTTTCAACCTGTCGTTGGCCCAGCCAATCAGACCATTTGACCCATGACCCAGTCATGAACCTGAAATTTCTTTGAAAACCATTGGCTTGGTAAGATCTATGCAGTTGAACCATTGACACAGTCAGTGGGTCATGGGTAACAAATTACAAGAAAACTTCCGAACACCATAACTTTGCACTCAATGATTGCATTGGGTGATCTATATAATTTCAGGACTATTAATTTTGCCCAAAAGAACTTTTTTAACTTTGCACATGGCAATTTTAGATGATGATAATAATAATGTATCCAAAATGTTCTATAAAATTCATGTATTTTTTTGTATTTCTGTTTTTCAATATTAATCCGATGTAGATTGCAAAATCCAAATCCGATTATTTAAACACCTCATATTGCACTACAAAATTTTGGGTATCATTAACAGGCCTACCTACTTATCTGGACTCTTAATTTGGTAATGACGTAATGTTTTATCTTCATACTATATCTTTTTTTGTTCATATATAAAAAAATGTAAGAATTAAAGAGAGGGAATTGAATGATGTGAAAAGTAGTACTTCAAATTACATTTTAAACATCACAATTAACTATGGATTAAATTAAAAAAATGAGTATTTTAGTCAAAAGAAAGTTCCACAATCTTATTCATAATTTTAATAGTAGTGTAAATATAGAATTATAAATGTTTTCAATTTTTTCTATACTTTTTATTTCTATGTATGCAAAAATAATTTTGTTATGTACACTTATTTTTTTGTTTGATATGATAAATATATGATATTATACATGTGCCAAAATGTTTTTTGTAAAATTTACATATTTTTTCATTTTTGTGTTTTATATAGTTTATTTAATTTTTATTATTTAATTATGGCATTAAAGGTTGACGCATTTGACCCAAAATTTGAATTATTGATCTTTGCCAAATAGGAAAATGATTTCATTTTTGGTTAGTTTTAGATTATGTATTTCATTTTCATCATCAATAAAAATAATTCTTGTTTATTACACTTTTTTTTATTTGATTAAATAAAAGTATCATAAATGTGTCTAATTGTTCTACATTTTTGTAATTTTCTATATTTATTTTTATTTAAGAGTTTTATTATCTAACTATGATTTCATGGGTTGACCAATTTGATTTGAATGGTTGAATTGCTAGTCATCACTTGGATAAAGAATGATTTTGTTTTTAAGTAGGGTAAATTGTTGAAACCTCCCTTGAAATTTGAAAATTGAAATCACCTCCCCTAAACACAGTTGCAAGTAGACCCCCTTTGTTAGAATCCTCTAAGAGGCACAAAATGCCCAGAATACTCATGCAATTATCATTGAGGTTGTTTCTACAGAAAAAGCAATGCGAATTTTACAAATAACAAAAAAACAGAGAATTTAAAGTTGTAGCTTTGCCTTTAGTAGTCGATCAAGACTACAATCAGTCTTGAATCTAAAAGTAAAAAGGTTTCAGATGGAGAAAAGAGGAAAAAGAAAGAAGTAAAGAAGAAGCAGAAGTACACAAGGGTTTTAGAAAAGAGAGAGAGGGACTGATTAATGAATCTGCCACCCCATTCTTAACATTTATATGCTTACTAATTGTAGAAAAGGCAGAATTGCCCTTAATGCTTTACATGGCAAATAAACTAATAATAAGCTGAAATAACTACCAACTAACACTAACATTACTAACAAAGAGTACATGTTGTGTTGTCATACAAACACAGTGGGGCCCACATCAGGGTTCTCTACACTCCCCCTCAAGTTGGGAATAAATATTTGTCATTCCCAACTTGCATAGGTTTGCCTCTAACTTCTTCCTTGGAACAGCTTTAGTGAGAAGATCTGCGAGCTGCATGCTGGAGGTGATATACGGAAGACACTTCTTAAGATGAAACCCTTTCTCTGACAAAATGTCGATCAACTTCGATATGCTTAGTTCTGTCATGTTGTACCGGATTGTGAGCTATATTAATAGCAGCCTGATTATCACAATACAGCATCAAGGGCTTCTCATAATCAATACCCAACTCTTCAAGTAATGACTTCAGCCATAGGATTTCAGCCACTCCATTAGCCATCGATCTGTATTCAGCTTCAGCACTAGAGCGAGAAACAACACTTTGTTTCTTACTCCTCCAAGAGACAAGGTTACTTCCTACAAAGGCACAACATCTAGAGATAGACCTCCTGTCATCAACACTCCTAGCCCAATCAGCATCTGTATAGACCTCAATCTTCATGTGATCATTATTCTTGAATAATATACCTCTACTTGGACATCTCTTCAAGTATGCTAATAATCTCTCAACTGCAAGGAGGTGAATAGTTCTAGGAGAATGCATGTACTGACTGATAACACTGACTACATAACTGATGTTTGGTCGGGTGAGACAAAGATATAGGAGTTTTCCAACCAACCGTTGGAACATAGCTTTGTCTTCAAGAGGCTCTCCACCCTCTGCTCTGATCTTGTGATTCTGTTCAATGGGTGTAGACTTGACACCCAACTTTCTAGTTTCTGCTAACAGATCTAGAACATACTTCCTTTGAAAAATAAAGATCCCATGTTTAGATCTATCAACCCCAATACCCAATAAGTATCGTAGTGCACCCAGATCTTTCACCTCAAACTCTTGATGAAGGAATTGTTTGAGGGACTCAATCTCACTATTATCATTCCCTGTCACCACAATATCATCCACATATACAGCAAGCAAGGTTAAAGAAGAGTCCACTCTTTTAATGAACAATGTATGGTCTGACTGGGCCTGTACATAGCCGAATTTTCCAAGGGCTTGTCTGAATCTATCAAACCAAGCTTTGGGGGACTACTTTAGTCCATACAAGGCTTTATTTAGCCGACAAACCTTCTTACCTGTCTCTTCATCATAAAATCCAGGGGGTAATTGCATGTAGACTTCTTCCTGTAAGTCTCCATTTAGAAAGGCATTTTTAACATCCATCTGAAACAAAGGCCAAGAATAACTCGCCACAAGGGCTAACAGAACTCGATTGCTACTGGGGCAAAAGTCTCCAAGTAGTCTATACCATAAGTCTGAGTAAATCCTTTTGCAACTAACCGGGCTTTATACCTTTCAATGGAACCATCAGCATTATGTTTCACGGTAAATACCCATCTACATCCAACCGGTTTCTTTCCTTTGGGTTGGTCAACTAGCTCCCAAGTATTATTCCTCAGAAGGGCATCCATTTCAACCTTCATTGCATCTTTCCACTCAGGAACTGACAAGGCTTCCTGCACTGTTCTGGGAAAGGAATATCAGTAATGGAAGTGAGAAAGGACCTGTAAAAGGGAGACAGGCGATCATAGAACAGAAATTGGGAAATGCAGTGAGTTGTGGATGTGGTGCAACGCCGTTTCCCTTTACGGACTGCAATAGGGAGGTCAAGATCATCCGAAGAAAGTAAAGTAGCAACAGTGGAAGGTATCTCAATGGGACTTGGATCTGGATCTGCAGAAAGAACTGGGGCTAGCCTGGACTACTGATGACCGAAATCAACCTGCCTCCACCGCCTGTGATAGACTTTCAACTCCTGACACCTCTGACAACCCTCCCCATTACAGCCCTCATCACTCAATGGAAAGGGTAAAGGAACTTGAGATGAGTTAACCCCACTCTCACTGCTCTCCCCCTGAGGAAAAAACCCCCCATTCTCACTACTCTCCCCCTGAGGAGAAACCCTAGGGTAATAGGGGACCTCCTCAAAGAAAATAACATCCATCGAGACAAATCTCCTCCCGGAAGTAGGTTCATAGCAGCAATAACCCTTCTGAGTGTGTGCATAACCGAGAAAAATGCATTTGGAGGCCTTAGGGTCAAATTTGGAACGATGAGGTCCAAGAATCTGAACAAAGCAGGTGCAACCAAAGGTTTTAAGGGGAACAGTAAATAATTCTTCATCTGGGTATAGAAGGGTAAACGGAGGCTTCATGTCAAGAACCCGTGAAAGAACCCGATTAATGAGATACACTGCTGTGAGAATAGCATCGCCCCAGAAACGGAT